AATCACCCCTAACTTGGGACCCCCTCCCCCCAAATTAAACTGATGGGGGGGGATCACCCCTAATTTGGGACCCCCCCCTAATTAAACTGATGGGGGGAAATCACCCCTAATTTGGGACCCCCACCCCAAATTAAGCTGGGGGGGAAATCACCCCTAATTTAGGACCCCCCGCTAATTAAACTGATGGGGGGGGATCACCTCTAATTTAGGACCCCCTCCCCAAATTAAACTGGGGGGGGACATCACCCCTAATTTGGGACCCCCCCATAGTGTTAAATGTGGGACCCCCCCCCAAATTAAACCGGGGGGGGGGGGGGGGGTGAGATCACACCCGATCTGGGACCCCTCCCAGACATGACCCCCCTCCCCCCCCCAAGGTTAAATTTGGGGGGGGTCCCCTCAATCGAGCCCCACGAGGCCACGCCCCCATCAATCACGCTGAGGGGCGTGGCCACGCCAAGCCCCGCCCCTCCATTCATTCTCCCAGCGCGCGCACCCCCATATATGGCAACCCCTCCGACCACGCCCCCTCTCCCTTCCCATTGGCCCGCGCCTCCCGTGACGTCAGCACGACAAAGAGCGCGCAGGGAGGGGGCGGGGCGTTTCCCTTAGCAACGGCGAGGGGGCGGCGCCTCCGCCCCGCACGCGCCGCACGCACGTACGTACGCGCGTGCGTCATCACGGAGCGTTTCCAGCGCGTCACGCACGGCCCCGCCCCTTCCGGTTTTGCGCCCCCCTCAGGTCCTCACCTGAGCGGCAGCCGCCGCCGCGGGGCTCCCGAACGAATCCACCGAAGAAAGGTACTGAGATTCGGCCGAAGGTGACGAACTGCAACGGGAACCGGAATCGTAGTCCCCCGGGAAGCCTTGGTACATGGCCCCGGGGCGGCGGGGGCCGCGCCTCCACGCCAAGGCTGCGCTGAGGCCTACGGGAGGAGCTCAGGGCAATGGCATCGCTGGGGGGGGGAGGGGAGAGGTGGGGAGGGGGGTCGGTTCTGGGATCTGGGAGCCGGTTCTGTGCTGCGGGTCCCGGTTTCAGGCCGGTTCGGGGCTGGAAGTCCTGGTTCTCGGGTCGGTTCGGGGCTGTAGGGCCCGGTTCTGGGCTTCCGGGTCCCGGTTCGGGGTTGTAGAACCCGGTTCTGGGCTGTAAGTCCCGGTTCTGGGCTTCCGGGTCCCGGTTCTCCGGTGTAAATCCCGGTTCGGGGCTTCCGGGTCCCGGTTCTCCGGTGTGAGTCCCGGTTCGGGTCTATAGGCCCCGCTTTCTCGGTGTAAATCCCGGTTCTCCGATGTAAATCCCGATCCCGAGTCTAATTCTGAGCTATAGAATCCCGGTTCTGTGTTGTAAATCCCGGTTCTGAGTCCCGCGAAAGCCTTCCCGCGTTCCGTTTATTTGCACTTAAATCCCGGTTCTGTGCTGTAAGTCCCGGTTCGAGTCCTTTCCGAGGTCCGATGCTCCGCTCCGGAGCCGTTCTCAGCTCCGGTTCTCCCTTTTAACCCCTCGGTTCCGTTAGAATCGCCGGTAGAACCCCGCCGAGATCCGTTTCTGTCGCTTTAAACCCCGCAGCGTCCGTTCCGATCCCCGAATCCCCGTGCTGAGAGCCCCGCGCTCAGCCCTGAGCTCCGCTAAAGCCGCTCCAGGCTCCGCTTTGCCCCCCAATCCCTCCGGTTCTCCTCTATCGGAACCGTTCCACGGTCCGGTTCGGTGCTCTGCCCCGATAGAGCCGTTCCGAGCTCCGCTTCTCCGCTGCCGGGTCCGTCCCAGGCTCCGGTTTTCCTTTCGAAGTCCCGGTAGGACCTTTAGAAATCCCGGTTCTCCGTCGGAAGATCCAATAGAACCTTTCCAAATCCCGGTTATCCGTTTTTGAAGCTCCGGTAAAACCCTTCCAAGTCCCGATTATTCCGTTGTAAACTCCCGAGAATTTCGTTGCCGATTCCCGTTCTCCTCTTCTAATCCTTTCCGAACTCCGTTTGCCGGCTCTCGTTGTTCCTTTTCAAAATCCCGAACCGTTTCCCGATTCCATCCGGTACCGACCGTCTCTTTTTTTTTTTCTTTTTTCCCCCTTTTTTTGTTTTTTTTTGTTTTTTTTTTCGCCGTTTCCCTCTTCAATCAATGAAGCTTTTTTTATGAATGAACCGCTCTCCGGCGTTCCGCGGCTTTATACGGCGGCGCCCCGCCCCTTTTTGCTGACGTCACAGCTCCACGATTTTCAGACGGGGGGGTCGAGGAGGTGTGTGTGTGTGGGGGGGGGGTCCTCTGTACCCCTCCGGTGTCGGCGGCGTCCGTCGGTTCTGCTCCGCGCTCGCAGCGATCGCCGCCGTTATGAGGATCCGAAGGGGGCGGAGGGAAGCGGGGGGGATCCCTCGCCCCGCCTCCCCAAGCCGGAGTTCCTGTGACGCAATTAACCATATATGGCCTTGGCGCTCGCCGTGTTTGTTTGGTATCCTAGCAATGACGTCACAGGGAATCCCTTTTCGCCGCCGCCGCCGCCGAAAGGCGGTATTAATAGAAACGGTTCTAGAAACGGCCTGAAGCGGCGCGGCCCCGGTAACGACGACGGACCCCCAACCTCCCCCCCC